TGGTCAGGACTGGCAAATCGATTTTACTCCTATGCCATCTCACAAGTCTTTCAAATACCTTTTCGCACTTATAGACACCCTAACCAGGTGGCTGGAAGCCTTCCCCACAAAGAATGAAACTGCAGCTTCAGCAGCCAATATCTTAATAACTCACATCACCCCTCAGTTTGGACTGCCATCCTCCATACAATCAGACAATGAGCCAGCTTTTGTTTCACAGATTACCCAACAAGTCTCCTCCCTAGGGATCCACTGGCACTTCCATATCCCCTACCGACCTCAAACATCAGGTAAAGTCGAAAGAGCCAATGGCCTTATTAAAACACACCTTACCAAACTCTCCTTAGAGCTCCGTAAATCTTGGATAGACCTCCTTCCATTTGCCTTAGCACGCATAGGAGCAACTCCCAAAGCACCAACCTTTCTCAGCCCTTTTGAACTAATGTACGGCCGACCTTTCCTCCTGATCCATAATTTACCCATGCAACCCCCTCCCCTAGCTTCCTATCTCCCATACCTTCTCTCCTTAGGCAGCTACTGTGAGAACACGCAGACAGGTATCTACCACAACCCTTAGGGACTGATTCTCCAGGACCACCAATAGCAACTCACCTACAACCCAGAGGTGCAGTGCTTCTCAAAACTTTGCATCCAGGGCCACTGAAACCTCACTGGACTGGACCACATACTGTTACCTTAACCACTCCCGTGGCGGTAAAACTCCTGGGTGACCCCTCGTGGCACCACCTCTCCCGTGTCAAGAGGGCCCAGACAAATCATGATTCCTATACATGCCAAATGCTGGGTCCAACTAAGCTCCATCTTAATCGGACCCCTCATCCTCCTGACCCTCACTAATACTGAACCCACATCCAATCCCAATAAACTCCCACCCAACCATGTTTGGAGATTTACCGTCTGGGAGGGACAAAACAGCATATTGGTCAGGCAGACTACCCACCAACAAATACAACGCAACTAGAAATACCCATTTTCCCCAAATCAGTATTCCCCAGTAATTCCCGCTATCTCTGTTTTACATATGACCGATACGATCCCAAATGCAACCAAAACTCCTCAACCTATGGCGGGTGTTATTACTGGTCATGCAGAATACATAGTTCCGGACATTACTCTGGAGCATTTTTCACTAAAACCATGAGATTACACCTCCGCATCAGTGATCCAAAGAACGGCAGGTGGGCAGATGGAGTTATAGGAAAACTGTATTACAATGGCTTTGCCATCTTACCCCCAGGAACCATCAAAATAGAATGAGCAATCCACACCCCCCACAACCTTACACGAGTTCTTACCTCCATTTCCCAAGAAGAACATAACCTACAGAAACAGATCCAAGGAGATCCCCAAACAGTTCTCGACCCGACACAGGTACGGACCTCTCCAACACCTTCCTGGATACACATCATCCAACATTCCCTATCTCTCTTCAATTATACTCAGACTCTACCCAATGTTTCACATTGCTTCCTTTGTGCCTCACTCAAGGGACCCTTACTTGCAGCTGTACCTATCAATTTATCTCTACCACTATCTGCTCCCACCCTCAACTCTTCCTGTACCACCCCTCTACCGCATGTACCCCTTTGGGCACTTAAAACCTTTAACCAAGTACCACAGAATATTTCCATCACCTCTGCACCACCTGGCATTTTCTTTTGGTGTAATGGAACTTTCACTAAATGTTTAAATTCCACCACTCCTGGTCCCTGCTTCACAGTAACCATAATACCCCAACTCACCCTATATGAAAAATCCGAAGTCTCCCGACTATTACAAGAGACTAGAATCAAAAGGGCTGCCTTCATACCCATCATAATAGATATTAGCCTAGCCTCTGCCACTGCAGCAGCATGAATGGAGGGCGGAGCCATGAGCCACAGCATATCGGCTCAGGACTTCCAAGTCTGTCTCAAAATTGCACTCAAAACCACTGCAGACCCCTTAGCCTCCCTCCAGCGACAACTAACCTCTTTAGCCCAAGTTTCTGTGCAGAACCAGAGAGCCGTAGACCTCCTAACTGCAGCAGAAGGTGGAACTTGTATCTTCCTGGGAGAAGAATGTTGTTATTCTATTAATGAATCTGGACTAGTGAAACAGAATGTTAACACATTAACTCGACTAAAAGAGGAACTATGCAACTGACGCAATGCAGAAACTTCACTGTTTGTATTGTTCCAATTACCACTGACTGCCTGGCTATTACCCCTTATTGGACCGTTTGTACTAATACCTCTCCTTGTTCTCTTTGCCCCTTGCCTCCTCAAGTTTCTCTGAAGCCGACTTGAAGAAATATCTTGGGTCGCAGTGAATCAACTTGTCCTACACCCTTACACCAAGTTGCCAACTGACAACCCCGGCTTCTCAGGCTCCAACCTATGAAATCCCTCTCCCCCTCTCTGACCCCATTCAGCAGGAAGAAGCTAAGTGGACCACATCACCCTTTATCCATGAAAAGAGGTTGGAATGTTAGGCCGAAGCAAACCCAAGCCCCAATATGTCAGTTGGCAGCTTCCTCCGGGTGTCAGGCCCTGATGAGACAGCTGAAGACAACTGAAGTGACAGAACCCACCTAGGCTGGAAAGTCCCATGCAGTGAAAAACTTCCTCCTGTGAAGCCCCTTCATGCTAATTAAGTGCAGACCCATGCCAATAGCTAATTGGACCCTGCCATTTCCTTAGAGGACTCTGGCATTTCCTTGGTGTTCCCAATTAGGTCCTCTCTGTGTCTATAAAAATCTATGCCCCCTGCCCGGGGGTGCGACTTCTCTGGCCTTGATGTTAGGGCAAGACAACCTCACCCAGGAGTGCTAATAAACTGCTTCTCTCAAACAACTCCATGTCCTGGTGTTTATGCAGCTCTGCATTACAGTACTGCATTGGGAAAATATGCTGTAAGAGACTCTTAAAAGTGTTAAAAAGCAACGACGTTACTTCAAAGACTAACATGTGCCTGACTCAACATATGGTATTTTCAGTGGCCTCATATGCATGCAAAAGTTGGACAATGAAAAAGAAGACCAAAGAAGAACTGATACCTTTGAGCTGTACTATTGGCAAAGAGTACTGAACATACCATGGACTGCCAGAAGGCCAAACAAATCTTTCTTGGAAGAAGTGCATACAGAATGCTCCTCAGAGGCAAAGAAGGTAAGACTTCCTCTCACAGACTTTGGATAAGTTATTTGGGGTGACCATTCCCTGGAGCATGTCGGGCTTGGTAAAGTACAGTTCCAGCAAAATAGAGGAAGACTCTCGATGATTTGGATTGATGCAATAGCTGGAACAATGGGCACAAACATAGCAATGATTGTGAGGATAGTGCAGGACTGGGCAGTGTTTTGTTCTCTTGGACTTAGGGTTGCCATGAACCAGAGTGGACATGATGGCACATAGCAACAGCCATGGTTTAATGGAGCTCCTAATAATCTAATCTGGGACAATTGGGGCAAGCCAAGAAGAAAAAGAGTAATGTGGATTAGCTATTTTTGCTGGTATAAACAACTTAATAAATAGATAAAGGAGAGAGATGGGTAAACTATTACAGGCAGAATTCAGAATAAGAAACAGAAAAAGAACTGGGATGGAAAATATCATTTGGTAAATACCACAGTAATAATATTCACAGGCAATAACTATGCATAGGGACAAAATCAGTAGTCAAAGTACGATGAAAAACAGAATCTTTGCACAGTCTTAAAGTATCACTCTATGAGAATCTTACCAATTATAAAGGATAAAATAGTTAACGTTGGAATAAGAAAGAATGGAAGGAAATGTGACAAATATGAAAACAAAACAAAACACTCTTAAACCAAACACAAGACAGGTGTATTTTATTGTATACAAATTAACAATAAAACTTCGTTACAAAAATATAAACCACATTTGCTCAAGGCTATTCCTTCCACCCTCATAAACAGTAACCAAAGTCTTTGTTGTTGTTGTTAAGTGCCGTTGAGTCATTTCCGTCTCATAGCAACCCCATGCACAGCAGAACGAAACACTGCCCGATCCCGCGCCAGCCCCACAATCCCTGCTATACTTGAGTCCATCATCACAGCCACCATGTCAATCCATCTCGTTGAAGGCCTCCCCCTCTTTCATTGACCCTCCACCCTACCAAGCATGACATCCTTCCCCAAGGGTAAAATTTGACTTGGACTGAGAATGTGACAAACAATATAGGACAGCAACAGCCCCACCATTACACAGAAACTGTCATTACTCCCACAGGCATGAAGTAGCTTTAATGACCTCTACTCTTTGAGGAAGTATTGTTTTCCTACTCACTGAGAAACTCTGTTCTTTAATTGAAGACTTTTAGAAATTTGCTGTCTCACATTACACAAGTAAGGATGATACATACCACATTTGATGTAGCCTCTGTGCAGTGAGTTTTGTGTGAAATAAAGTGTGAGGAACAACTAAAGGCTTTCCCACATTCCTTACATTCATAAGGCCTCTCTCCACTGTGAGTTCTTATATGTGCAGCAAAGTCTGAATGCTACCTAAAGGCATTCTGTACTCCTTACATTCATAGGATCCCTCTTCACTGAGTCTCTTTGTGTCTAGTGAGGGTTAAAAGCTGTCTAAAGGGTTTCCCACATTCCTTACATTCATAAAGTCTAACTCCCTGTGAGTCCTTATATGTGTAGTGAGGGATGACAAATCACTAAAGGCTTTCCCACATTCCTTACATTCATAGGGCCTTTCTCCACTGTGAGAGAGCTCTGGTGGCACAGTGGGTAAGGCATTTGGCTGTTAACCAGAAGGTCAGTGGTTCACACCCACTAGCTTCTCCACAGGAAGAAGATGAGTCAATCTACCTTCATAAAGATTTACAACCTTGCAAATACTATGGGGGGCACTATAAGTCACAATCGACTCGATGGCAGTGGGTTTGGTTTTTTGGCTTTTCTCCATCATGAGTCCTAATATGTGTAGTGAGGGCAGAGTGCTGCCTAAACAATTTCCCACATTCCTTACATTTGTAAGGTCTCTCTCCAGTGTGAGTTCTTGCATGTTTATTGAGGGCTGAGCAATCACTAAAGGCTTTCCCACATTCCTTACATTCATAAGGCCTCTCTCCACTGTGAGTTCTTCTTATATGTTTACTGCGGTGTGAGGCCTGACTAAAGGATTTCCCACATTCCTTACATTCATAGGGCTTATCTTTACTGTGGATTCGAATATGTGTACTGAGGGATGACGCATGAGTAAAGCGTTTCCCACATTCCTTACATTCATAAGGCCTCTCTCCACTGTGAATTCTCATATGTTCAGCGAGTGATGAGGCATGGCTAAAGGCTTTCCAACATTCCTTACATTCATAAGGCTTCTCTCCACTGTGAGTCCTTATATGTGTAGTGAGGGATGAGAGCTGCCTAAAGCCTTTCCCACATTCCTTACATTTATAAGGTCTCTCTCCAGTGTGAGTTCTTATATGTATAGTGAGGGCTGAAGAATCACTAAAGCCTTTCCCACATTCCTTACATTCATAAGGCCTCTCTCCACTGTGAGTTCTTCTTATGTGTTTAGTGAGGTGTGAGGCTCGACTAAAGGATTTTCCACATTCCTTACACTCATAGGGCTTATCTCTACTATGGATTCTAATATGTGTACTGAGGGAGGAGGCATGGGTAAAGGCTTTTCCACATTCTTTACATTCGTAAGGTCTCTCTCCACTGTGAGTTCTTATGTGTTCAGTGAGTGATGAGGCATGACTAAAGGCTTTCCAACATTCCTTACATTCATAAGGCCTCTCTCCACTGTGAGTTTTTACATGTTTATTAAGGTTTGAGGAACACCTAAAGGATTTCCCACATTCTTTACATTCAAAAGGCTTCTCTCCACTGTGAGTTCTGATGTGTGCAGTGAGGGCTGAGAGCTGCCTAAAAGCTTTCCCACATTCCTTACATTCATAAGGCTTCTCACCGCTATGAGTTCTAATATGTCTAGTGAGGTGTGAGGACAGACTGAAAGCTTTCCCACACTGCTTACATTCATAAGGCCTCTCTCCACTGTGAGTCCTTAAATGCGTAGTGAGGGCTGAGAGCTGTCTAAAGGCTTTCCCACATTCCTGACACTCATAAGGCCTCTCACCACTATGAGTCCTTATATGTGTAGTGAGATACGAGGCATAACTAAAGGCCTTACCACATTCCTTACATACACAAGGCCTCTTTCCACTGTGACTCCTGATATGTTTAGTAAGGTTTGAGGAACTGGTAAAGGCTTTCCCACACTGCTGACATTCATAAGGCTTCTCCCCACTGTGATTTCTTATATGTTTCGTGAGGGATGAGGCTTCACTAAAGGATTTCCCACATTCCTTACATTCATAAGGCTTCTCTCCACTATGAGTTCTTACATGTTTAGTGAGGGATGAGGCCACACTAAAGGCTTTACCACATTCCTTACACGCATAAGGCTTCTCTCCACTGTGAGTTCTTAAATGCTTAATAAGGTTTGAGGAACATGTAAAGGGTTTCGCACATTCCTTACATTCATAAGGCTTCTCTCCATTGTGAGTTCTTGTATGCTTAGTGAGGGATGAGGCCACACTAAAGGCTTTCCCACATTCCCTACATTCATAAGGTTTATCTCTGGTATGAAAATTTTTATATAAAACAAGGGAGGAAGAACTGTATATTTCACAGCATTCTTTACATTCAGGTTTTCTCACATGTGTTGAAAAGGATGAGACACTACAGAAATGTTTCTCACACTCATTACACTCGTAGTGTTTCTCACCAGTGAGCGTTGTCATGGGATTCTTAAATGTTGAGATACAAGTGGAGTCCTTCCCACATGCCTTACATTTATGGAGTTTCTTTCCATTAAGACTTCTCCTAGGAGAGGTCAGGTAAGCGGGACAACTGCAGGCTTCCCCACGTTCCTCACACTGACAGGTACTGCATCCACTGTGACGTCGGCTGTCATGTCTATGTGATGAGGGGTCTGTGAAGGCTTTTCCACACTCATGGCATTCAAAAGCATTCACTTCTGCAGGATTGCTTTTTGGCACAGTAAGATTTGGAGTCCAGTGAAAGTTTGTCCCACACTGATCATCTTCATTACTTTCCCACAGGTTCTCTACTGTATGATTTCTGTTAAAAATATGCATCATGCTGTTGGTAATAAATTTGTTCCCATTTCAACATTACTGAACACATTGAAAGTGCACAGCTGCACAGTTTTGGGCCTAACTTGCCTAATGTATCATAGTTTAAATCATCTAGCCAAAATACCACCACTACTGTCACAGTTTTTCTCAAATATGTAGTTTCTGATCATTCTGTCCAAGTGAAATATGCTTCAAATACTTAACATATAACTCAATATCTGACTCCTCGATATGTGAAAGTTGTATAACAATTTTACAGTAAGGTTTATATCTATATTATTGTTAGGTGCCATGACGTCAGTTCCACCTTATATCAATCCCATGTACAACAAAATGCAACAATGCCTGGTCCTCACAACTGTTCTATGACTAACCCCATCGTTCCAGGCAGTGTGTCACTCCATCTCACTGAGGGTCTTCCTCTTTGTCACTGACCTACTTTACCAAGTATCATATAGTAGCACAACAGGGGATCTGGTGCCACAGTGAAAAAGGTATGTGACTGCTAGCCAAAAGGTTGGCAGTTCAAGCCCATGAGCTGCTCTGCAGAAGGAAGATGGGGCAATCTACTTCCATAATACTTAGGTGCTCTGGTAGTGTAGTGCCTAAGGCATTTGAGTGCTAACTAGAAAGTTGGAAGTTCAAACCCACAAGCTGCTCCACAGAAGGAAGACAGGGCAATCTACTCCCGAAAAAGATTTACCACCTCAGGGACCCAGTGGGGTCACTATGAGTCAGAACTGACTCACTGGCAGTGGGTTTGGGTTATTTGTGGTTCATATATAAGCATATGGGAGCTCTGGTGGTGTAGTGCCTAAGGCATCTGACTGCTAACCAGAAGGCTAGTGGCTCAAACCCACCAGCCACTCCCCAAAAGGAAGGCTGGGCAATCTACTTCCGTAGTGATACTGCCTCGGATATCCAAGGAGGGGTCGCGATGAGTCAGATCCAACTCAACGGCAGCGCGTACATTTATATAAGCATATTGTGTCATGACACATTAGGATCCTCTCCGAGGCGCTGTTTTCTCTTGTGCAACTTAAATGACACTCACCTCAAATGTCTCTTCTGGTTTTTATGCTGATCTTTGTTGCCATGTGATTGGGAGGTTTCTCCTAACACGAAGGACCAGATGTTACTCTTAATGAACTGCTCCATTATATGTTCACTGGATAACATTTCTCCATCATTGAGGTTTCGAGACACTGATCCAATAATGCAAGTTGAGTTTCATGACACGAAACACAAAGAAAAGGAATTATTAAGGGGAAACAAGGCTGTTGTAGACAAGGAAACATTCAGCTACATTTTGATGTTTTAGCACTTTGACAATGGTTAAAAGCATTTTACTGGGAAACACATCCACAAGGATTGAGGGAGATGGTGACATAAATGAGGATAATTAGGAGAGAGGTGGACAATGATACTGTCCAGAACACACACATAACAACAAAAGGAAAAGGGTATCCATGGCCACATGTGTGAGTGGACTGTTGAAGTCAGAAAAACAAGGTCACGTATGTATCTGTGAACGTGTGTCCTCAACCCAAGAGATTTTCTAGCTGACTACCTCAAATCGAACTTCCTATCTCCATGGTCCTTGCTCCTTTGGGAAAACAAAAGGCTACTGCAGGCACAGTGTTCATGAGAAATGAATACAATGAGGGAGACAGTACAGACAAATGAATACTTTCCTGACACTGGGCTTACATTTTGCTCTTTAGGATCTCTGAAAATGGACAGGTGTGAACTGGCGTGTAGGAAAATAATCATGTCAATCTTGCAATAAACACAGTAAAACTCTCTAAAAGGTCACATATCATAAATCTCTTAATTTCCCCAAAATGAGTCCTGAAGAGAATGGTTACACTTAAAAATCTTAAAGAGCCCCAGGGCTTTTAGTCACAAGAGAAATGAAAACTCACTTTACTACACAGCTTTACATGGGCTCTATAGACTAAGGGACCACACATGTCTTATTTAGCAACGTACTCCCATTCCTCAGCCCAAATCCTGGAGGAAAGTTGATGAGTAAAGTAGTATTGTTCATGAATGGAATTAAAAAAAGAAAGAAAAGATGCAATTCTTACCTACTGAGGTCAGGTTCCTGAAGGTTTCCATCATCACATCTCTGTGGAGATTCCTCTGAGCCAGATCTAGCAAAGCCCACTCTTCCTGGCTAAAGACCACAGCCACGTCCTCCACAAGCACTGAGTCCTGAAACATCCCAAACACATTGTAGATCACCAGAATAGTATGTACTCCAATGTGTACAAGAATGCACATTGTAGATCACCAGAATAGTATGTACTCCAATGTGTACAAGAATGAAAGGTGAGCACTGTCAACCACTCAGAAAGAGATCTATGGAGGACATCCTGGAGAGAGTGGGAGAATAACATAAAACAAAACTCAAAATCATTTAGAAAAAAAAAGGGGGGGACCAGGTTTGCTAGTCTGATAGAGCCTAGTGGAACCACTGAGACTATGGCCCCTAGCTGCCCTTCAGGTCTGGAATTGAATCTACTCCTGTGGTTCTAACCAAAGAACAGACAGGCATATGAGCTGAACATTTGCATTGGGTAGATACACTCTTTGGAGAGATCAATCATGGGAGAATAGAAGAGCAGTGTTTGCCCAGGGAGAAAGCTCTAGGGGCAGGAGTGCATGGGAGAGTAGGACATACCGCAGAGGTAACTATGGGGAGGAAGTGGGAAGGGAGCTGTTGCATTGTGGGAAATTGCAGTCAATGTCATGAGACAAAGTGTATGTGAAGTGCTGTATGGAAAATGAATTTGCTCTATAAACTTTCACCCAAATCACAACAAAAACTAAAAAAAAAAAAAAAAGACTGACGGGTGAGGCTGACAGTCCCAGGGAACTGAGAATTCACAGGTATTGACAGAAGGTTCTTTCTGTGTTGTACCAAGGTCTACTCTAGGGAATAGCCATCACCCTCATCCCTTCAGTAAATACATTCATTTCCTTACTGATTGCATCCTGTCTCACACATCTCCAACACATTGAAATAATCTGTCCACCTTGTGACTGAGACCAATTCCACCCTTACTGCTCTCTCTTTAAGAAAGAAAAGATCAAAATGAATGTCAGAGGAAACTCTGAAACTAACTCTTACAGATACAGTAGCTAAAGTGAATGGAAGAAATGATGAAATAAAAGAGCTGAACAAAAAATTCCAAAGGGTGGCTCAAAAAGACAAAGTAAAGTATTAGAATGAAATGTGGAAAGATATGGAGTAAGAAAACCAAAAGAGAAAAGCACAATCAGCATTTCTCAAACAGATGAAGTGAAGAAAAAGCTGACTCTTCAACTTGCAATTGGGAAGCATTCTATGGGAAAATATTAAAAGATGCAAGAAGCATTAAAAGATGTAAGGAAATCACAGAGTCACTGTGCCAAAAAGAACGGGTCAACAGTAACCATTTCAGGAGTTAGCATATGATCGAGAACGTTCTACTGAAGGAGGAAGTCCAAGCTCCACTGAGGGAATTATCTAAAAGCAAGATTCCAGAACTTCACAGAATATCAATTGAGATATTCCAACAAATGGATGCAATACTGGAAGCGCCTGTCTATGCCAAGAAGTCTGGAAGAAAGCTATCTGGCCAACAGACTGGGAGAGATCCACAGTTTTGCCCATTCCAAAGAAAAGTGATCCAACAACATGCAGAAATTATCAAACAATATAATTAATATAACATTCAAGTAACATACTGAAGGTAATTCAATAATGGTTACAGCAGTACATCAATAGGGAACTGCCAGAAATTCAGGTCACGTTCAGAACATGGAACAAGGGGTACCACTACTGATGTCAAATAGATCTTGGCTGAAAGCAAAGAACACCAGAAAGAGGCTTACCAGTGTTTTACTGATTATGCCCAGTGCTATACATTTTCTAATATCGTGACTGCTGCAGCCATTGGTGTCGATTGTAGAACCAAGTAATATAAAGTCTTTCACAACTACAATCTTTTCTCCACATTTCATGATGCTGCTTATTGGTCCCGTTGTGAGGACTTTTGTTTTCTTCATATTGAGATGTAATCCATACTGCAGACTGTAGTCTTCAATCTTCATCAGTCAGTGCTTCAACTCATCCTCACTTACAGCAAGCAAAGTTGCGTCATCAGTATATTGCAGGTTGTAAATGAGTCTTCCTCCAATCCCGATGCCACACTCTTCTTCATATAGTCCAACTTCTCAGATTATTTTCTCAGAATACAGATGGAATAAGTATGGTGAAAGGAAACAATTCTGGCACACTCCCTTCTTGATTTCAAACCATCAGTATGCCCTTATTCTGTTTGAAAAACAGCCTCCTGGTCTATGTACAGGTTTCTCATGGGCACAATTAAGTGTATTCCCATTCTTCTCAAAATTATCCATAATTTGCTATGACCTACACAACTGAATGCTCTTGCATAGTCAATGAAACACAAGTAAACATCTTCCTGGTATTCTTTGCTTTCAGCCAAGAGCCACCTGACATCAGCAATGATATCTCTTGTTCCACAGCCTCTTTTAAAGCCAGTGTGCATTTCTGAAAGCTCTGTCAATATACTGCTGCAACCGTTTTTGAATTATCTTCAGCATGATTTTACTTGCATGTGATATTAGTG